GTCCCGGTACTGTCACGGTGGTACAAGAGGTGTCACGGACACTTAACGTACCGAATGACACAGATGGTATCGGGACATGGCTGTTTCAACGATTTCCTGCACAGAATAAAACGAGCCCCCAGCAGGGAGTGCTCCTTCTGCGATGCCCCCTATGATAATAACTTACATACGTTGGGGGGTTGCCCGGCTTGGGATCTCGATAGACAGATATTGGCGAGCGTCATTGGACAGGACATGTCCCTAGGTGCGGTGATAACAGCAATCCTTGAATCGAATGAAAAATGGTCGGCGTTTAGTACTTTTTGTGAGGATGTCATGATTAGGAAGGAGGAGGCCGAAAGGGCCAGACAGGCCGAGGCGCAGCTCATTGCGGGCATCTGGGCGGAATATTCGAAGGAAGAAGAGGAGGACGTGTGACATGTACGCGGTACATGTCCACTTAAAACATCTGCTAGGCAAATTGTTTCCCAATAATACTTCATCTTCATTGGTAGAATTCTCTTCTGGCGGAAGCCTGTAAGCTCAGGGGACGTTCTCGTCCCATGAGTCCAAGTGGTGGGTATCAGTCCCATGTTTTGGAGGGGGGCCCTGAAGAAATACTCTCCGGTAGTCCCGGGGCCCCTCTCATAGATCTTGCGGGATCTTTTAGGTGGATTTTTAGCAGGTAGGCGATCGGAGAAGGCCACCAACTTCAGTTAGCCCTCGGGCTGGCTGAGACCGGAAGTCACGCCCGGTTGAATCCTGCACTCCCCTGTAACAGGCGCAGGGGGTCTATGAAGATTTTTACCACCTTTATAAAAAAAAATAAAAAATAAAAAAAAAAAGGTTAGGTTTCTGGTGGGGGGTTCTCTCGCGTGTGTCGAGGTGTACGGACGTGTCTACGTGCCGCTCCGTCGTCTCCATACGCGACCGTGTAGAAACAACGCGCCTCGCGCTGTTAAAGTGTGATTAGCTTGTGCGGATTGCGATCCTATACTGATTCGCAAAGTTTTGTGTGCCGGAGTTTATTTTTCTGGAAGAAATAAGCGATTTTCTGGTGTCGCGGAACGTGGCTCGCGGCTACGGCCCAAAATGGCTGGCCCTGCTACGCCTGACATGTCGCGGTAACAAGGGGCAAAATTCTCCCGTATCGGGATTCGTTTCAAGCCCCGGGAGTACGGCGCGCCTCAGTGTGTCGTTTAGTGATGGCTAGTTATCGCGGTTTCTAATACTCTGAATTTTTCCCGGAATAATATATGTGCGGATTATCGGTGCGTTATATAACTGACGTGTGCTCCGAAAAGCGCAGGAACGCGCTGACGGCGTATAGAAACCTTCGGGATATACTGCCGTCAAGGGAGTGTTGCGCGGTAGTGTCAAGTGGGAAGCGAGACCGTTATACGGCCCGAATTTGGTGTAGAATTACTTTGAAAAAGAGTTAAAGTGCGTGGTGAATGCGCCCTATGCTGAGTCGTGTGCACGTGAACACACCTCTTCGCGTAGGCTCATGTGAACGAGCCCTGTGTGAGGTGCGCGATCTTTACTCCCTATACTCTGTGGCGGCCGCGCCACGTGCTCGGAGAACGATCGCTGGGCTGTGTTTTT